TTTTTTTCAAAATTTGAAAAATTTCAAAACCATATTACCATATTATCTTTAGAAATTTGAAAAACCTAAATTTCCAAAACCAAGTATTTTTTTTCGACAATAATTTTTCCAAAATCATGCATTTTTTTCAAAATTTGAAAATTTATCAAAATTATGTATATTTCGAAATTTGAAAACTTCCAAGAACCATTTGCATTTTTCTCAATTTATTCATCGAACTTCGATTTGTATTTCTTTGACGAACAGCGCGTTAATCGCTGAAAGAACTTTTCTCAAGATCCCTTTCACGAGGCAGGTGCAGTCGCGTGTACGCACACGCGAGTGCAGGTGCAGGGATACGAATCAATCGGTGGCGAGACACGAAGGAAAAGTTACACATGATTTCGTTGCGGCTTTAAGCGAGACGAGATAAATGGCCGTTAGCTCGGTGTTTCGCAAACAAGCCGGAAATGCTGGCCTGGCTTTCGATCCGCAAGTTTCCGCCAACACCGTCTAAGGACCAACGCGTATACGTATTCATAGATTCGCCGCAAACTTTCATGTTAAACGAGCGAAAGTTGCATCGTCCTATTTTGTCCAAGATGGAAAAAGTACGATGATTTGAAAAAGATCGTTCAAACGAATTGATAAAACTTCTAACTTCTTTCTAACTTTTTTTTTTGACGAGAAAAAGATTAAATTATTTATTTATATAAGGTATTTTTGAAATTAAAAATTTGTCAATTTTAATAAAATATTGAAACGAATTTTTTTGAAGAATTATTTCAAAAATAAAGATGTATTTTTTTTTTATTTAATTAATTCAAAACCATTTAAATATTTTTGTATAAAATATCACAAAGTTTAACATAATGTTTATTATGTATTAAATTTTAGTAAAAGATTTATAATTATTGAAAATTGCCAATTTCGTGAATACACTTTCGCATCACTTTACCGTCTTCGGCCACGTATCGTAAATTCGAAGCTCGTGGCAATTAATGGACCCGTTAGTCGTGCAGACATCTGGGACATCTTTGATCCCCTTGTGCGTTTCCTCGAGGGAAGAAGAAGCGAGATTTCCAGAGGCAAACATTCGAACTTCCATAAATAAAGATATTTTAGTAAGTTTTAGTAAATACCAATTTAATCTTCAACTCGTACAATGATGCATCGATATATACGATTGTCCTTTATCACACTATATTGTTCTTTAAATACTTACGATTTATGAATTTAATTGAATATAATGATCGTCACAGTAACGCAATTGCACTGAAGGAATGGAAACATTAATTGTACGTTCTATCTTCGGAAAACTTTAGAAATGAATTATTGAACGCATCGAAAGAAGTGTATTGCGATCCAATAAACAGTTGAAACACGCAATTAAAGAGGCTGGAACAAGGCTCTGGCAGAAGAAAATGAAATTTCCGAGTAGAAATCCAACATTAAGTAAATGTTTTTATAAAACTCTTCGGCATTCCTGACCAGTTCCATGTTTAATGATCTCTATTTCACAAAAACAAGAAATATAAGCATAATTTATGAGAAATAGAATGTAGAATTAATATACGAAATTATTTGCACATTTTTTTTTTGCAGGCTAGATAAGAAATTTTTCAATTAAAAGACATGATTTTAAATTATTTAAAACTCGATTACTCTTTCAACCAAAAAGAAATTCATAAAATGCAATTTTATTATACTGTTATTTATGCAAGAAAAAAACGAAAGACGAAATTCTACTTTCATGTTCGTTCCATTGATCGATCATTATCTTAATATAATGAAAGTAAAATGAAAGTAATTATTACACTATTATATTAATCTAACCTAATGTTCCGTTTCATTAAAAAAATCATTGTTAAATCAAAAAGATAATGAGATTTTTAATTTCATAATTATTACGAATTACATTTTCACTTCGTTTCATTAATACGTCATTATCTCATCACAAAATTCGCCTATAATATCTTCTCGTTCAAAAAAAATCGAAAAAACACGTCTCTAAATTATCCATAATTTAATCGCACTTATTTAACCAAAAAGACCTTACCTAACCTAACTTAACCAAACAATCTCGTAACATCGTTATGCAAAGCATGGGAAAATGTATGCAAGAAAAAACTTTACGAACCCTCTATCTTCACCTCGTTCCGTTGATCGATCGTTATCTCGTGGTAAAATTTAAAATTCTGTCTAAAACACCAGCGATCTCTTTTTTTTTTTCGTTCAAAGAAATCGGTGTCAGTCGCCCGGCGGTACACCACGGGCGAAAGAGCGTTTTTAACAAGCGGTGCCACTCGTGGTCGAGTACGAAACAACCGACAGTTTGCTTTAGCTTACCACGAAAATCAAGCATGGCCGGAGGTTAATGGCGCGCGCATAACGCGAATATTTCCGTGACGACATTATCGGTCAAGCGCGCGTCGTTCAAATAAGTCTAAGTAATAGTCACGCTTCGATTCGATAATCGCCGCGATTTTATTTCAAAAGTGAGAGCTCA